CCCCCAGCTCTAGTCAGGCAAAGCAGTTGGCTGCTCTGTGCTGCTCCCTCTACTGCTGGCAGGCCCATGGCTGCAGTAAGGGGTGGTTTGCCAGCCTCCTTGGAGGCTGCTGGAGCACCCTTGCCTGCTGGCCAGGACCAGTGCAGGCAGGCTCTAGCCATCCCCTCCTCCCTGCCCCCCTCCCCTCCCCAATCCAACAGGTGACAGTCTGTTGGGTTGAGGGGCAGGGAAGGAGGGGAGCTTTAATTCATGGTGCTTTGTGTAAAGCGCCATGAGTTGCAGCGAGGCCTCTAAACATCTGTAGGCATCCAAAGTGAAGTGGGAGTGATGAACAAGCAGGAAATAAAAACATAACAAGTGTCCATGTACACATCATAAAACCAAATAATTCTGTACCATGGGCGTTCAAAAGGTTTAATGCCTATGTGCTTACTTGCCAGCTCTCCAACCCCTTAAATGACTGAGATTCAAACCCTGCTTACATCTACAGTGAAATCGGCTTCTGGTGCAAGCTCTACAACCTTACAAAACCACCACATCTCAATCGCCTCTATTTATGAGAAGCCTCAGGCAGCTGGCTGCCGCACTGCTCTCAGGAGTGTGGCATATTAATAAGAGCTGTAGGAGACGGCATAGACAAATGCATCTCCTCACGATGTCGCAGGTTAGACAGAATCCTGATCTTGTTCAAGGACAAAGCCTTACTCCTTCCAATCCGAGGGTGAGGGAGAGAAGAGGCATGGTTGCCATTCTTTCCTTCTACATCTCACTGCTTTGTATTTTCTTTCTGCCAAATGCTATGGGAAACAACTCTGTTCTTCTCTACTGTGCCTGATTCTGTGGGCTAGCTAGGTAGCGCTATCTCCCCACAAGGTAAAGAAAATGACAAAAAAAGTGTGAAGTTTTCCACAATTACAGTGAGTCCTGACTGTGCTACATACTGGATATCTGGACAACTTGCTTGCTCTGCTCACTTTCACCCCTACCACATCCCTTTGAAACTTTTGTGTCGTCCCTCCCCAGCCCCTCACCTTCCACCCGAAATAAATTATGAACTCAAATGAACGTGCGACACAACAACAACTCTGAAACTTGGGACATCCCAGAACGCAGTGCAGATGGGTGCAGGTGGTTCAGGAAGCAGTCTGACAGCATGCCCCAGGGTACAGTCATTACATTAACAACATTAAGACAGACACTGTTTAAATGTTCAATCACTCAATCATGGCATTCATTATTACTTGAGATTTTGTGGAGACGCTAACAGAAAAATGGAGACACCAATAGAAAGTGCTTTTTGTTACTTAAAAATAAATAAATAAAAGTAGGATACACCACACTGTACTGATTTTCTTTGCCAGATTTGTTGTTTGCCTTCAGAAAAAAAAAATCTATGCCTCAAAATGCCCTGTATACATACTTCTCCCCCAGGGAGAAGACAAGAGTACAACCTAGTTGCATGGCATCACACCATGCTGGAAAGCATTTGCATTACTCTGAGAATCATAGCATAAGAACCTCTATGTACTCTACCACACTGCATCCAACTGTTCAGGGACTGAGCCTGGATGGCTGTCAGCAATACTTAGAGCTCCTGTCAACTAGGAGGGAGCAAGCGGTAACCCATTTGGGTTCTAAGAAAATGAAAAAAATGGTTATTTTCTGCAAGTGTCCCCTGCCAGGTACTGCAGGTTGCTTGTGCTTCATTATGGAGAAGCAAGGTGACTGTGAAATGGAGGTGGCAAGGAAGGAAAGGGAAGAGAGATGGTGCAAATACTACACTTTTTGATAATAATTAAATCAAAGTCAGCAAATTTATCATATAAAGGGTAAACAAGGCTAAGAATCGTAAGACTCAGAGCTAGATAAAGCCCTCCCCTAAACAGAGACACTATGGGTGCCTATACACATGCAGCAAGGCTGCTCCAACATGTTGTAATTACAGCGTATCAGAGCAGACTCAATTAATCGAGTCTGCTGGAGCATGGCAATTACCACGCTCCAACAGATTCCAGTATCTTGTATATCAGTGTCTTTGCACTGAACAATGGCGATGGAGGCGCTTTAACTAAAGCTTGCTTAGTCCCAATATCTACATTCTCTGTACAGGAACAGCTGACACTATTGTGTATTCAAAACGATCCTCCAACAGCATTTTTCAGTGCAGAGACTCTGATACATGAGAAGCTCCAGGTGCTTTAATTAGAGTGGCTCTCCCCTCACTCCCAGAGCACATGTATAAAATGCCCTACGATTCAACACCTGATTCTTTCCCAGAAAAAGGTCCTGGTACAAGCAACGGTCACTGACTCCACTGAGTCAAATCCTTTTTTTGGAGGCTTTTTTTCTAGTTCTTTTTTTCCTTTCTCTTCTGTTAGTTAAGATTCAAGAGCCATTTCGTCCCTATGATAAGTTGGTTATGTGATCTTCCACTAGAATATAGTTATCCATGAACCCTGATACCACACTGATCAAGCAGGAAAGGCATAGATGACTATACTGTTTTGGCTATAAACACAAGCAGATCTGACCCAAGGAAACACACCCCTTAATTCTTTTTTTGGGATTTGGTTCCATGAAGTTTTACAGGTATCATCATGCTGCACCAGTCACTTTACAATGTCAAGTTTTTAACACAAAGGACCGGATTAGTTATTCCATTTCAGAAGCAAGCTCCCATCACTCATTAAAATCTGTAGATAAATCTTAGGTTTAGTATCAGAATATGAACAGCAGCTTTTCAACAGTTTAAACAGCATGCAATAACTCGATAAAGGTGTTCAAGGTGCACATGACAGGAGACAGCATGGTGCAATGATCATTACAAGAGAATGTCCTTCTGCTTTCCAATGGTTTGCCAAGGAACCCCTTAAAGTGAGACTCAGTGAAATAAGTATAGAGAATGTTACCTTTCTTTGCTTTCTTCTGTAGCTTCAGTGTGTCTGACGATTTCTTTTTTATCTCCTGTCGGGCTTTTTTGTATTCTAAAAAAAAAAACCCACAGTCTGCATTTCAACATACTTGATATTTAAATAGGTCTTTGATTTGCCAAAAATGCTACACCTGAATATATGAGACTACAAAGTTTTAAAAAAGGGATATTTGCTTTTTGATCAGTTTAGAAATCAGATTTGTATTTTGTAGTGCCTGTAGATTTGGTTTTACAAGTCTGTTAGGCAAAAATAGCCTTCACAATGAACCATGTATTTGGAAATAAACCAAATATTCACAGAAGCAACAGCTGGGTACAATACATAATGAGAGTGCTCTCTTGATTTATGGCTTATGTGCTACCTGGAATGGAACACAGAAGGATTTTGACAGGCTTCATAGACATCAGGGCTGGAAGGGACCTCGGAAGATCATCGAGTCCAGCCCCCCGCCCAAAGGGCAGGAAGTCAGCTGGGGTCATAGGATCCCAGCAAGATAAGCATCCAGTTTGCTCTTGAAGGTGTTCAATGTAGGTGCTTGAACCACCTCTGGCGGCAGGCTGTTCCAGACCTTGGGGGCTCGGACAGTAAAGAAGTTCTTCCTTATGTCCAGCCTGAAACGATCTTGAAGTAGTTTGTGACCATAAACTGCTTTTCAGAATATACCTTTGTTCAAAATTGAATATCCCACAAACAGAAAGATAGGCAAGTGATACTATATTAATGATGCTCTTGAAAGTCAGAGAAAGGATGGCCTGTCCTTCACACTGCAGAGAAGGATGCTGAGATTCTGCCAAAGTATAGGTCACACTGGCCCCTCCTTTACATAAGTGGGGCAGATTTTTAGCTGCCCTCATTTAACAGAAATGCAGCCCCATGTGGACTAAAAATCCCAGCACATAATATTCCACCACAGTTTTGACACAATGAAGGTACCAGATATTATAATTAATAAAAGTGGATTTCATCATACATATAGCTCTTGTAACAAACTCTTTTAATCATTACATTTCAAAGCACTCTATGAAGAAGGGATTACTGCCAATTGGACAGATGTGGATAAGGGGGAAAATGAGACATGGGGTAGGCTCATGATATAGCTAGGAACTGAACCCAGGCCTCCTGCACTCCACTGTGTAACACTGATCTCTACACTTCAGAGATCTCCACCAGATAAGCCACCCCTTGCTTCCACTCTCCTCCTCACTCTGCCCCAGTAACATCTACTATTACAAGGGTGAAGAGCAAGGTGGGTGAAGGACAGGGTAGAAATTCTTTCAGAAACTGTTGATGTTGTTTGGCCCCAGCAATATTAACTGGGCAATAAAAAGGCACTTCCTCCCCAGGGACTAAGCATGTTGTTTCCACAATAGTCTCAGCTGCTCCCAGGGTCACCCTCTTAGCAATGATTTAAGTGGTTAGAGTACTATCAAGTCAGCAAGGACAGATCTGATTTGTTCAGACAGGCCTTGAATTTAATGCACAGTCAGCAGTCCCAATGTCTACGTTCTCTGTACAGGAACAGCTGACACTATTGTGTGCGTTCAAAACGATCCTCCAACAGCAACCCGTGAGATCCCACCACTGTGCCTTCTAATGGCAACAATCACCCCAACAGTGAACAGCGCTGCAGTTAAGTGGGAGCTGTACAAGTTGGCTCCTCCACTCCTCAGACGTTTTTTCCAAGTTCTTTTTGAATAGGCATTTCTTACATCTCACAGCACAAAGTAATACTAAAAAAAGGAAGTGCTTTCCAGGACCACACAGCATCAAAGACACATGGCTGAGAAGCAGCATAACCTTAAAGGTAGCTTAAATATCCCACAGCTTTCCAGTGGTGGGTGTGACATCCTCAGTAAAATACATAAGGAAGTATCACACAGCAAGGAGGCTGCTGAAGGAACCCCAACATGCAAACTTACATGAGAATATTTACCAAGATGCTGAAAATACCTTTTTACAAAGTCTGAGGTCTGCAGAACCAGGCTTCAAATTTTAAGAACTTGTGGAGCTTGAGAAAGAATTGGTTAATTATCTTTGCTTTGGAGCCATTGAGGGCATTTATGTTAAAAATAGCAATTTTGTTTGGTTTCCCAGGATACTGAATGAAAGGGGAAGAGCCACAGCAGAAAATAATCTTATATATCACAACCTTATCCTATTATACTGATGTTCTTCCTCTGTAGCTACCTTTTGCATGGTCTTTATCCAGTTGATTGGCCACTTTCTTCCACTCTTCCATCTGTTCTTGAAGTGGGTTTATCAGACAGTCAATTAAAGCACTAATTTTGTTGAAAAAACACAAAGAGCAATCAAATCCTGCAGATGCCCTTATTTCTATAGAGAGAGCCATGGTCAACATTGGAGTATTTTACTCTCTGCCATGATGGTTGCTAACATGTAATGTAAATATCCAAACATAAGAGTGTTTAAGTATCTACTACATGACTGGGTGATTAACTGTTTGATATATGGTGCAGTTCAAACCTCTTAGGTTGAAAGCCACTTAAAACCTGGGCCGGTATAAAAATTCCATATAACAAAGGTGTCCAGAATTACCTGTGCAAAGGTTCAGGATGGTAAATATAAATAAGAGACCTTAAAACAAGGCCAGCGTATACAAGTACACTTCATTTGTCACATTAAGTTAGTACTTGTAAGACACTTTAGACTGATGTCCAGGAGACTAGACATTTCTATTGATCAGAGTAGTATACATATCCACAGAACACAGACAATAGCAATGGAAGCTCACATATCTACCCATCAATGGGCCTTAACCCTCACCTACAGGGACCATGGTACTGAGGTAATTCAGACTCCATGCCCATTCACACCTAGCATCTCTCCTGAAAAATTAAGGAAGAATGCTACTGTAGTGGTGGGTTTTGTGATGCGATATGGGAACTCCTCAATACAGAAGTGAATTGAGATTGAAATTTCTACAGACTACTGAACAACCCTTTTTTGTTCACAGTGGATATACAACAGACTCAAACCAGTGACCCACAAAGAAAAGTCTGAATATCTTTTCATCTCCAGAGTCATTTGCTCTCCCAAATGCATCCCTTAAAAAAAAATTAAACAAAACATCTACATGGGTCATACAAACAAAAAATCATGATTCCTTCTTATCCTCAGGCTGAATAGACACTTTATTTCTATGGCAAATAGCATGCAAGGAAGCCAATTTTCTCATAACAGATGTAGGTAGCATTGTTTTCCATCTGTCCTCTTTCTTCTCTTTTTTTAAACACAAACTATGGGCAAAAATCTGCAGAAAAGGTCTACAGTACGAGACTTCACTAGAATCTCCTATCCAAGTTGTTTAAGTTTCTGTATATTTAGGAAGGCAGCACAGCATTTGCCATTACTCCAGCTCAGTGAAGAAGTTTAAGATTCGGCAACTCAAAAACTAGTCCTCTCCATCACTGACTGCTCACTGCTGAGCTACGGTGTTTAGTGACAGAAATTCCCAACATTTAAAGCAGCCCGAACTGGCAAGTCCAATTCTAAGACTGGGCAGCTAAATCTTGTGTTTCTTGATCTCTATAAAGCCCAATTTGTTGGGAGAAAGAAAAGAAAGCCTGTTCCCAGTGGCATTAAGTCAGAGGTTAGCTGGAAGCCAAAGCTGGTAAACAGCTTAATGTGCTCCTGAATGAAAGGGGGCTGCCTGACGAGTACTTTTTTTGACTGTGATCCAACAGCTCATGAAGAGCGAGGTCCAAGCTTTAGGCCAGCTGCGTAATCACTCACCTTGAAAACTGCCTGAGTTTGGACTCTATACTTCTGTGCCTCATGCACATTCTGGTTAGGGCAGACCCAATTTCTCTGGTACCACCTGGAAACCAAATACAAAAAAAAAGTTAAGACTTCCCAAAGCATCACAATGTAAAGCAGGTAGAATCTATTAAAAGCACATCTGAAGACTTGCTGAACACCTGTAAAAAAGAAACTGAATCAAATACCACATTGTAAAATTAAGCCTCCAATGGACAATTAAGAAAGTGGAGGAAGAAATTTCTTTTTGCTCACCAGTAGTCCAGAACTGGACTACTAAGTAGTTCTCTCTCTAGAAACCTCCAGTGTGCCAAGAATGCTGTAAGGCTAAAAACTATGTAGGAGAAGAATCAAAATAGGATCTGATGTCGAAGAAGGAGATTGAAGGGTAAATATGGGAAGGAGCTATGCATAAAGAAGGAAACATGATTTGGTGAGTGTTTAGAAAGACACCCAAAATAGTGAAATATCCTATGAAGGTGTCTGACCTAAATTTCCTCTTTGCTAGACCAGTCATTGCCTCCATTTGGAAGGATTTTGTTGCTTCAGGAAATTCTCTCCTCCAATCCCACCATGTACATAGAACAGGCACACATATGCACACCCACCCGCATACTTACAATCAGACTATGAATTTATCACGTCTCACAATGTTGCCAGAAGATGGCACTGTTTATTTGCTCTTAGACTATACTCCTAGTTATTTAGTTCCTCCCAATAACAATTGTGCAATGACACGATTACATTTTTAGTACTTCTTCCTCCCCCAAGTTCTCTTCTTCTAAAGCAATCATTCTTTTTGCCCTGTAATTTGATTAAATAAACACACACACAAATATATACTATACTATTAGATATATTATATTTGTGCGCGCTTGCATGCATGCTTACCAGGATAGCAAAAAATACACACACATACTGAAGTTTCCTAAATAAAGGTTTTTTATTTTGATTGAAAAAAAAAAAAAAAAAAAAAAAAAAAAAAATTTATT